GAAAATTATAACGATCTTTTCGAGGTAGAATGTCAAGTTGAGTATAATGAAATTATGACTAGGCTAGCTTTGTGCGCTAAGTCTGTGACAGCAACGTCTTCAATCGAAATAAATAAATACATTAAAAAACTCAAACCAAAAAAATCGACTGGATTCGACGATATTTCTAATTTTATGATTAAACTACTTCCCCCGGGCTATACTGATTGTCTAGCGAAGTGTTTTAATGACTGGCTAAAACATTGTCACTTTCCGGAGGTTTGGCAGTTAGCAAAAAGTGTTACGCTTAATAAACTAAAAGCAGGCACGCCTTCTTGCTATCAAACGCGTCCAATCTCGTTGTTGGCTACTCATTCCAAACTGTATGAGAAAGTTATCCATGAAAGGATCAAAAACTGGGCGGAACAAAATCAAATAATTCCCGCAGAACAATCAGGATTTAGGAAAAGCCATCTGCTACAGACTCGAGTTTTGTCAATATATCAGGAAGTGAAGAATAACCTAGCAGCTAATATTCCTACGCTTGCGATATATGTAGATTATAAAAAAGCTTTTGATAGGGTCTGGCACACTGGACTAGTAGTAAAATTATTTAGAATGGGTATGCCACTTGAACTTCTGAAGCTTATCGTAAGTTGGTTGTCCGGTAGAAGATCTTTCGTAGTTTTTGGAGGCGTAAGGACGGGAATATTTCGTATATACATCGGACTACCGCAAGGTAGTGGTCTAAGCCCGCTCATTTTTATTATATATCACGCAGATTTAGTTAAATGTGCAGGCGCTTTTTCGTGTCATTTATTTGCCGACGATCTGAACATCCTTATAGTTCCTCCCGTCATGAAGAATCTATCTACCATGATTGAATTCTTGAGTGAGGAGGGGAATAAAGTATGTAACCGGCTATTAAGCTATTCCAAAAAGTGGAAACAGACCATCAATATCGCCAAGACTGTAGCGCAAGTTTTCTATTCACAAGTCCGGAAACCTAATGTAATAGTCCTTATGGGTGATAACATAACTGAGATCGTTTCTAGATTTAAATATCTAGGATTTACATGGACAGATAAACTTTCACTAAAGCTCACTGTGGATAAATGTCTAGAAAGCATACAAAAATCATTTAACAAATTAAGATGGTTAAAAAGAAACAAAAACATTGCAACAAATATACTTAGACTATGCTTTTACGCTTATTCCTTCCCTTTTTTGGCTGGATTTTTCCGTTCTTACCTCTACTTCCCTCTACACAACAAGAACTCCTCTACCGAAAGTATCGAGTAGGACTCCGGTTAGTTTACCGTTGCCCGTTTGTAACGGCACGTAATCTCTGTGATTCCACTAATGAGCCAGATTTAACTTTCCATGTTAAGAATTATCTAGAAAAAAGGCTATTATCGTCTAGTGAATCAGATCTCGGTCAATCCTTGTTTATAAATGATATCTAATATAAGACGTTATAAGACGTATCTTTCATTAAACCGTTTAAGTATGTAGCCCCTCGAGTACCGTAAAGCTTACTAGTAGAACATGCACAAGAAGCGTTCCGTCAAAATCTCATTCCGTCAGCAACTCAAGACATCCATATTGATTTGCTTCTGTACCCTGTTAACTTAAAAAGTGTTTTTTCTTCGAATTATATGTCCTCAGCTCTACCTACAATCGCAATCTTTTCCGATCCCTCCAATAGTTACATTGAACAAAACAGAATACAAAGCGAAACTCATTCTCATCATGCTCAAATTTTAACGGCCACCAGTGATTGTTCCATCTAAATCATTGATTGTTTGTCCAAGTGAGTTTAATACATTTAAACCATGACCAATCAATTGATCTTGAAGTTGTTCCCAATGTGGTTTTGATGTATCCAACCCACTGCCAACAACTATTTGAAGGTTACCAACAATAGTGCTTAAAGCTTCTTGTTCGGCGTTAATGATTGTTGAAAATTGAGCCCCTAAATCTAAAGAGAAAAAGAGAAAGAACAGTAGTAGTTTTGTATGTTAAAATTTTGTTTATTTACTTGAAAAGATATCACCAGTACCACGTCCACCAATCGCACCTAAAACAGCTCCGAGACCTTGGTTTAAAAAGTGTGAGGCTAAACCGTGAATTGAGCTTTAAATTGAGATGTAGAATTCAGAGAACAGAGCCGATAAGTCGAAATGTCCACGGCCAGGGATGTTTGCGAAGTTAAAAAAGTCTTCTAATGATGATAAAGTTTGAGTTAAAAAGTTCTGAAAATATGGTTGAAGTGCCCTCAAAATATCAACGTCGAATGAACGTCCTCAGCTATTAGCTAAGTTTTGTAATTGTTGTGATGCTAGTTGAGCAAGAATCAATAATTGTTGAGATAATAAGTATAAAACTGATTGCGCAGCCACCAGAGCTGGCACCGGTCCGGCCGGATCGGTATCGGACGGGGGAGCCCCAGTTGAAAAAGTCAACCGGGCCGGTAGAGACCGGTATTTCACCCGTTGAAACTTTTGAAATATCTGTTCTTTTAACCCTGTTTTTCGTCCAAAAACCAAAATTTTACGTCTTTTTCAGTCAGAATAAATAAGACGATACTCAAGACACCTATTATTTTCATCACTTGTTTTACGATTAAATATTATAGACTCAATATTGTGAAGGTTCTCTCACATGTGCTCGCAAACTATGTCATTTCTGAGGGAAACTCTTTGTGAAAATCGATTTTCAAAATACCTCGCCAGTTTTTCGCCGGTATTTTACTGGTTTTTGTCGGTTTTCCACCGTTTTGAGTTATAAAACCAACCGCCAGTTTACCGACCGGACGAGTCAGGTTATACTTTCAGACCAGCCGGACCGGACCGGTTCACCGTTTCTCAACCGGTTCCAGCTCTGGCAGCCGCTTGTCCTTGTTGAATTAGTTCATCGACAAACGCTAAACGGGCGTCTGTAGCCATACAAGCACCAAAACAGGCAACAAATTTGATCGCTAATACAGTTTTCATGACGTGTAATGAATCGAGAAGAGTTTTGATTAGCAGAAGATTGAAAGGATGCGGAATGATGTGAAACTAGTCGTATTTATACTATTTTCAAACAACTACTTACGCATGATACTACTATATGATGAGAACTAAAACATCCGGCATTTCTGTCACTACGAACAGCATTTTTTGTGTAGATGGTTCTTTTTTCGTAAGTCTAAAATTTTTTCTTAATTTGTATTTGAATAAAAAAACTATCCAGTTTGATTTTGAAAGATGTGTAAGTGTGTATGTTTCATCTTTAGTAAGAAATCTATCCATACATTTCTTAAAGAAATCCTACCGGGTTCTTTCAGGATTTATTTACTTTTAGGTACGATCCTAACAAAATATAGAATCGTAATGAAAGTCGCGATATCCGATAGGCATAGAATTTGCTAGGATTCTGTTAAGATCTGAATAGAAGAAAAGTCTTTTAAGAAAATGCAATGGTTGAACCCTAGACAAGATCCTATGCACTTCTTATATATTTCGTACTAGAATCCTAACTTTAAGATTCTAGAAAAGATTCTGGCTTTTAAAATCTGTAATTCTTTTAAATAAGTCAGTGACCAGAGGCAGCTCCGTGTCGGCTCGATTAGCTGAATATATGTTTTGGTGCTATAACATACGCAAAAACTATTGATTAATGTAGATGTGTTGAAAGTTCAGTTTTATACAAACTTGTCGTAGTTAAATAGTTAGTTAAGATAAAATTTGAGCAATGATATATCTTTACATAACCAATCATGCTCATTAAGTTTTTTTTGTTAACTTTACAAATATAAATGCAAGAAAAACGACTGTTACATATAAAGAGTTATTTCTATCTTCACTGTAAATTATACTAAGAAGTAAAAACTGTTATGTTTACTGTAAATTGATTATCAACCAGAGAATGAAAGTGTATATCTATTGCTGTAAAAGATGTTCCATATGTTTTTGAGCTCGCCATCTTAAATAATTTAGACTATAACTTAATTCAGCTGCTGAATGATTTTGACCAATGGAGAAGGCATATGATAAACTATTAAAATCAAATTGTGATGGTGAAACATAAGAGGATGGTGGCTTTTGTTGATGTTGATCGTATACTGTACTGGAATTTGTAGTAGTTGTCAACAAGTCTGAATAGAGAATATGATTAACTCGACAACAAACTTGCTATTTTATAATTAAAATTACTTACGAAACAATGAAGTTTTATCCGTAGGAGTCAACAATTTGATCTCCTTATCGACAATTTCTGTAAAACAGAAATATTTTTATTTTTGATACGAACAAACAATATTTATTTTTTGTCAATGATTAACAAACGGCGTTTGTAGAATAATCATGATTAATCTGAACATACTATGAAAACTCTCTAGTTTTTTCTCCATGTTTCACTGATCAAATTGAAAAAAATAATTTTGTTCTTATTCAATCGAAATTAAACTTTCACTGGAATAGAACAAATTGATCTATAGTAATCTTACCTTCGTTATGTTCATTAACTTCTGATTCTGTTTTGTCTTCAATATTAGTCTTTTGTTTTTCTAATGTTTCAGGTTTATCATTTCTTTTTTCTAATGTTGAACTAGTAATAGAGTTGTCTGAATCAGCAATTACTTCTTCTTTCGAACTTGAACATTGTTCATCTTCATCATCGCTACTTTCTTCGTCATCACTACTATCCGCAAGATTTTCTCCTTTTTTTACTGAAGTTGTTTGAAGATATGAGTTTTGACAACATTTTTGTCTTGTTCCCTTTTCTGTATCAACGACTTTTTGCTTTTTACGGTATTTTGCACGACGATTTTTAAACCAAACCTAGAACAACAACAATAAATATGATAGACTAAGAAAGAGAAGAAAACTGTTGACAATTATTTTTACTTGAACTCTTGCTTCTGGTAAATTCGTATACAATGCTAATTTTTCTCTCATCATGACGTCGGGATAATGGGTTTTTGCAAAACATCTTTCGAGCGCTTGTAATTGTTGACTGGTAAAGGCTGTACGTGATCGACGTTGTTTTCGTGGATGACGTGTTTCAAGAAGAAAATCTAAATGATAGAGCAGCTTAAATGAATGAAATTTATTGAATTATATCCACATATAATTACCTGCAAATCTTTCAGATGTGGGCAGAAAAGGAAATATTGGATGTAATGATGTTGGTGGAGGTTGTAAAAATGTTCCATAATTGTTATTTAAAGCAATTGGAAATGGATACAATGGTGAAGAATAATTTGATGTTGTATAAGGATTCATAACATGATCATTAAAACATTTCAGATGGTCACTACTGACTATGTTAATTATTAATTAAACAAATCATAATTATTTATAAACAATGTTAACAATTGAGTATATAAAAGTCAAAACAAGAGACTGTTCTCATTGTATAATTAAAATATCCCTTCTTTTTTCTTTTTTTTTCAATTGCGACATATAGTCTATATCTCACTGTTAAATGTTGTGAACGTGTCTTTAAAAAGAAAATCCGCTATCGTCGCCGTTTTGGCTTTATATACACAAGTAGGTATGATAGCCATTGTCCCATATCATAATTCGATAGAAAAGAATGAAAGAAAAAAACATTTTTTTGTTTCTTCCTCTTTTAAGATATCATATCATAGAACACTTATTTAATTTAATATTTTTTTGTTTACTTATCAGCATTTATAAAGAAAGAGATGAGACGTTTATGTTGTTTTTTTTATTTTTGACAAGTTGTTGCTCACTGTATTGGCACGTTTTTATTGAATAGTAAACGATTATAAAGATTCGAGAGACAATAATTGTTCACTTTTTCATCTCCCATTATATAGATAGTATCTCATCAATTAATCCATAATCTTAAGAAAAAGAGAAGAAAAAAAATAACAAACGCAAAAACTTGTATAATCTTAGTTTGAATTTTTTATTTTATTCACACGTATTGTCAACATATAAGCTTTCGATAACAATAGACCATACTAGTACGAAAACAAAAAACAAAAGCCATTGATTGCTTAACTGATTTAAAGACTTCAATCCTAGAAGATCATACAAGTTATTCATTGAAGTTGAATAAAAAAGAGATTTTTAAAAATATAAAATAAAGGTCATTAACAGATGTCAATCAGCTAAAAAGAAAAAATCGAAATCAACTTTAAATTATTGTGAAAATAAAACAGCAATGATACACATTCAAATGAGAAATATGCTTGGTATAAATGTTGACATCCCACGTTCCAGAGTTGAATATGATCCTTCTAATTAGTATCTATTATAGTTAACGATCTTTTTATTATTAAAAACTGTCCTATCAAATAGAAAACTCAAATTTAATCGTTAGGATTTTACTAGGATCCAATTTTTAGCGTCATTATAACCACAATCAAAATATATTGTCTCAATTCGTTGGCTTTGATGATCAATATTTTCGTATTGTTAATACTATCACATTCGAAAGTGATACGGTAAATATCTTACTATTAATTAAAATTTTTCATTCCAAATAGTCAAACAAACGCGGCAGTTTTTTGAAAAAATAGTAACTTAAATGCGTTTCGACATGATCATTTGTGAAAACTGGTTTTTAAACGAGTTCTTTTATCTTTGAAGCAAATATATTTAAACGCCGACAAATTGTCAACACGTACCGATGGAGTAAAAAATGAGTTTAAAAATTCAGTTTGAAAAAGTAATCTTTTTAAATTTTTTTCTCACAAAGCGCGTTTATGTGGTTTTCTTTTCTGTCTCAGGTCGATTATGTGGAGTCCACATAATCGAACTAACTGACATTATGGAGTTGGAAACGTTTGAATGGATAAAAGAAACAAGAAGAAATATACCTTCTTTGATCTTAAAACTTTGCTAAATCCAATATTCATTCTACTGCTACTGAAATAATCAACAGATGTTAATCAGTCATTTTCGAATATTATTATAGTCTACCCCATGTAAATCGAATGCGTCTGAAGGAACGCGTTTCATCTCGAAAAGACGCGTTCAGGAACGTTTTTTTCGATAAACAGTCTTCAGACGCGTCCAGGCGCGTTTGCATGCGACGCGTTTAAACGCGTCTGAAAATGTTTCGTGTGAAAATCGGGTCTTTCTGAAACGAAACGCGTTTAAACGCAGCCACATTTGGCGCATCTTGACGCATTAGAATAAGGCGCGTTTAAGCACCTTACTCTCACTTAAGGGAAAAAGTTAGACGCGTTAAGGTGCACTTTGTTAAACGCGTCTCGACGCATTTATTTACCTTTTTCCCCGAGAAACACGTTTAAATGCACAGCTTCACCAAGCTATTACTGCCGCGTCTAGACGCGTCGGAAGGGGCCGCGTTTAAACGCGTCTCTTTTCTTACTCTCTAGAAAGATGCGTCCAGACGCGTCTTATTCAGTCGCAAAAAGTTTGTTGCGCCTAGATGCGTCTAAATAAGATGCGTCTCTTTTCATTCTGTTTGAAAGAGACATCCAGACACGTTCTGTTGTGCTTCGAAAACTCCTATTCATGCTGATATACAAGTGTTTCTTTTCTTTCTCGCTGTGTTCAGTTCACATCGTTCGACTACAAGGATTAGGATGTTTATCAGTCTCGAGTTGGTTTAGAAGTAAAGAAAGTATGTGCAAATAAAGAAGTTTTAAATTCCAAGTGATACATCTAATGAAATATTTAGAATATGCTTAATACTGACAAAAAAAGAGTCGCAGAAGTATCAGTTTTAAAGAGAAGTTTCCGAGAGACACGTTTTTTCTCGAAATTTCAGGCAGGAGTACTATAAAGCAAAATATTTACTTTCATCCTTTTCCTGCTCTTTCGTCGTTCTCACTTCGAAACCTGCAGACTGACAAAATATAGAGCAAGTACCAAGCCCAGTTAGCTGAGTGGTAAGTAAAGTACTTTGCTTTGTAATTTCTCTCTCTGTTCTCGGTCGCATGTTCGAATCTCCGTAAGTACATCTTCTATACTTATCTTTCTTTCATGTCAATTAAGCTCTTCTCTTCTGGTCTTTGTTCCTAGTAGCTAGTTATAAGACCCTGAACTTCGGTACAGGAATTTTAGCTGAACAAAAACAAACCTTTTTGCACAAAAGAGTTTAAAAAACCGCGTTTAGGCGCGTCTAGATAAAACGCGTCAACATCAGACGCGTCTAGATAGCGTCAAATGGTGCCAGAACAGCGAATAACCCTGCATAAAACCGGGTTTAGACGCGTCTAAATAAAACGCGTCACTATAACGCGTCACTAAACGTATTTCAATATAACTTTCCAATGAGTAGTTGCAATGTCGGCAGCACACTGCGTTCGTGATTATATGACATGAGTCTAGATAATCGTTAATAAGATGATGATAATGTACGTATCTGACATAATATTTCAACAATATGAACTTGTAAGAATAGAATTGTGTTGGTGTATGATAAACGAAATTATTGGATAACACCATCTCAATATGGATTCTGTAAGGATATTACTGATATACTAAACTATTGCTGCACGCGTATGCTCGTGTTGTACAAAAACATAGCAATTCTTTGTAATTCATTCAAACAAAATCAATCATAATAAATAGTAATTATGTGACACTTCTGAAGTTAATTACTTTTAGCTTTGCCGTTTGTAAAGGAGAGGGGCCGTTTTGTGATGCGGTACCTTCGATTTACGGAAGGCCCTAAGGGCGTAGCTTTATGGTATGGGAGCTTCCCTAAATCGAATGCTGTTTCATATAAAAATGCCTTACAGAGCTCGCATACGTCTCATTTTGTTCAGAAATGTTTGCTCTATACGATGGAGTTACTTATAAAGAATTTCTCGATTGAACTCGGAAACTTAGTTTTCTACTAAAATCTCTACTCGTTTTCAAGGCGCATCGAATGATATATAAATGATTAGGGATCCTCTTCAGTTTCACAGAAAAAAGTGATAAAGAGTTTCATTGGCACAGCCATGAACATGGAAATGTCTAGTATTAACCTCATAAAACCTATACTATTACACTTTTTTCGCAAATGTCTGTATATCAGATTGTAGCCCGTGAAACGCTCTATCAGATGGTATATTCAGTCGAGTGGCGTAAAACAAAAAAGTAACCAGAAGGTTGCAGCTATGAAGAATAGATTTCACATCTCATATAGTAGTAAATGCTATTTCGTTTTTTTCTCCATTCAAATGCAATTAGTTTTCAATGTTTTATATACAGAAATGTTGCTGAGGAAAAGAGCTTTCGAGTGATATATAATAAGTGTAATTAACTGTGAAATGGAACGACAAAACATAGTAAATACGACTTCCACTAGGCTTCGAGCCGAGAAAATATTCAAGTGATAAAATTCCTCTTGAGAAGTAGTTCCAAGGTTTCGATGATGCCCAGTTCGACTCTCTTAGTTACATTGTACCTACCCTATAAATAAAACTGAATTCGGTTAACGGGTCGACTTCATCACAAAACGGCCCCCCTTCTTTATCTGAGTCTTGTTAATTATGACTTTATTTCAAGATATTACTATTGCTGTGAATGTGACATCACATCTCTTAGTAAATAAACCTTAATTAACGCCCAAAAGGTCTAAGATTAATCATATTATCGTATAATTATTGTCTATTGTTTTACAAAAACGTACTTTGACTACAATAATAATTTCTTGTGCAAAATTCAGTTGTTGAGTCGCTATTGTCTGCGTTTGTTTTAGCCAAATTCTCTGTAAACTAGCTTCACAGCATGACTGAGTGATCTGCACATAGTTTCACTGAACAACAAATAAAATATTTAAAATCATAACCACGAGTTACTCCACATATAATAAAACAACAAATTGCTACAACTGCTATCGGAAAAAAGTAAGTCCCATTGTTCACCAGTATATTCTATTTTGAAGAAGTTTAATATTGAACGGTCGCAATCTCATTTGTAAGAAAAAAATACAAATGAACAAGTCGTATGTCTGAAAATTATTATCATCGAATTCAAGTGATTGCGAAAGAGACGCGCATTTGTAATTGATTATAAAAAAGTATTTTGACTTTTAACCTTGTTTTTTAGACAAATATCATTTTTATCCGAGCACCTATGTGATAAAATGTAGACGCGAGTTTTTATGCATTCTACTTACACTTATTGCACAATCTAAACGTGTAAGTATGCTCCAGAGCTTATGCCCAGAGAAGATAGGTCAAGACGTTCTAATAATATTGAAAAGTCATTTGTTAAATATGCGTAAAATACACGGCAAAAGAAAGCGTTCAAAAGTTGACGCTCCTTAGTGGGCGCTTTTTTTTCGTCACAACTTCGTATGCTTTTTTCTAGACGGTTTTTTTCTCGACGAATTTTTTCGTATGTTGTTTTTGTTAAATGGAAAAATAAAATTTGAAAGATTTCTAAATAATATTTTACTCAGTTTTGAACGCACAATACTTTGAAAACACGCCTGATCTGCTAGAGCGGTCCACTATCGCAGGAAATCAGTCGTTTCTAAGATAAGCTAGTGCAGTGAAACGAGTCATCTATGCTGTATGCACTTAAATACTATGCTTGGACGAATTTTTGTGAACTCATTTGTCGACGTTTTTTGTGAGCCATTCGTACCAGATTTAAAATAGATAATACTGGCTATGGATGAGCACATTGATTACAACTACCTTATTTTATTACCGAAACAATTAACACCGAAGAGAAATTAACAATACATATTCGACACATATGATACTAATGAACTATTGATGGAAACATCATTTCGATCATCAATCCCACTATTAGGAACAATTAAACTCTCACTCTGAAAAATATACTTTTATTACGGCAATGATGAACATCCTTAGTGGAATATGATATACAGATATTGTTTGCGTATTTGTAGTCTATAACTGGTTTTGCTCATAGTTGTTTTTAATATGCATTAATAAAAAATTATCTGTTGTGCATATCAACAAAGAATGCGATATTGTAATTACAATGGCTGCAAAAAATTTCCCTACACCCCAATCCTCTTTTTCCTTTTCTCATAACTCGGTATCGAAAATAGCTTTTGACAAGCAGTTTGTACAAAAATATAGTCCACTCTCTGTAGTATATTTGCAGATAAAGAAGATTAGATAATATTCATTGTTGCTCTTTGTAGGCCCATTAAGCTGAAAAGGTAACTTTTCAGGTTGTCAAGCATTTTGCGAACAGTTGATAAAAATCTGTTTTTACGTTGAATAAGTACAGATTAAATATGAAAACTACATCAATCGATAGTACGAAACGCGAACTAGATTTTAGTAAAAAAATAATTTTGAAAAGCTTTTTCCTTAGTGTGAAAACGTGACTTTAAGCCAAAAGTGTAGTACTCTTCAGTGTGGCTGCTAAATCTCAGAAATGAGAGTGTGAAAAAAATTCTGATTAAGCCATTTGAAAGAGCATCCAGAATTGAGTAAGATAAGTGAGTGGAAAGCCGAGTTTAATGTTCAGAAACTCATTTTGCTCTCTGAACTTGAAAACTCTAAATTTCGCTTTTCGTATCCCTATACAGTAAAAATAAAAATTGTACGAATACAAAGTATACTCAGAATTATTTGTCTATTATTAAAAAATTAGTTAACATTGACCAATGGAGACAAAGGATTATTGCATTTTTCGAGCTGCATGTTTTATCCTGATAGAGTCATATCTTTATCGTTACATATAACGATTTTGCTGTTGCATTCTTCATATATAAATAACCATGACCCTGTTTATAACATCATATTTTTCACGTACATACTTATTAAAACAAATAAAATATGTGAACATACTTGTTCATTATCTAAAAACTTTTAACGAACATATATTATGCATAGTATAATTATCCAATTAAAATTAGAATTCTTGATTTTAAATTTTGCTAACCAGATTTAAAATTTGACCGACAATCTTGAGATAGAAGTCAAACTAATATTTAAATCTCTTTGTGATTTCTAACTCTAATAACTTGGACTTTCATCGTTTAAGATACATATTGAATTTGGCTGAGAGTGGTTTTTGCGTGACAGAATCATAAAGAGTTATTAATTTGACTTTTGTCTCAGGATTGTTAGTCAAACT